TCACTCATAATATTTGTTATGCAACATTAATGTACCATTAAACAATCTATCTAACTACAGTATTTAACTGTAACTGTGTACTCATGAAAGCAGGTATTTTGAATCATTGGCATGCACTGTGTGGCAGTGAAATTTCAGAGAGCATGCAGTATAATTATAAACAAAATATTCGAATGAGAAACTTTTAATAAATAAGCATCAAAAAGAAATGAGTGGCCAGGCTCAGTGGCTCACATCTGTAAGCCTGGCACTTTGGGAGGCTGAGACAGGCAAATCACCTGAGGTCAGGAGTTCAAGACCAGCCTAGCCAACGTGGTGAATCCCCATTTCCAATAAAAATACAAAAAAATTCACTGGGCATGGTGGCGGGCACCTGTAATTACAGCTACGTGGGAGGCTGAAGCAGAAGAATCACTTGAACTTGGGAGGCAGAACTTGAGCCTGGGCAACAAGAGTGAAACTCTATCTCAGAAAAAGAAGGAAAGAAAGAAGTGATAACTTTTATGTTTTAAACATAAGCTATTTGTACACAAAATAAAATGGCTGTAATGCAACTTTAGAAGCAACGAACAGGCTTACATTGCTAAATTTAAAAAATACATTTTTTCAAAATATATTTAGAACCTCTGATATATTAAACAAATATTTAGCAATAAATTATATTATCATTTAGATATATGCTAAAGAAGGCAGGGAAAAATCCTGGGTGGTTTTTTTTTCCGTCTGCAGCAAATTTAAATTTATAAGTAACTATTAAACATGGAGTGTCTACCAATTATCTTAATTACTTTAGGCATAACATGTAAATTATTGCATAGTGTCCTAAATGTCTTAATCTAGAATTACAGATAAGTTTGAAATAAAAGATAGAAAATAAAAATGTATAGCAAAAGAAACATCAGTAGGATGAAAAAATGAAAACAGCTATATTTGCTTATCCCTCCCACAACAAGAAAATGTCTCATCCATTCCTTAAATAAATGCCTTATGAGGGAGTCAAGCATCGTGGCTCAAATCTGTAATGACAGCTACATGGTACATAGAGGTTGAAGAATTGCTTCAGGCCTGGACTTCAAGACCAGCCTAGGTTATAAAGCAAGACCTTGTCTTCAGTATAAATGCCTTTAAGAGAGCTTTGAGAATTTAGGGAGGGTTGTGAAACTCTGCTAAAGCCCAAGATTGACGAGTGTTCCTTTTCAGAGGACAGGTCCTCATTTAAGTGGGAAACTACAGGTCCCCTGGTCTTGGCTACACATCAAGAAATGGTCCACTGAGAACTGTGAAGTTACTCTGAAACCATCTCAAACTCCCCGCAGTTACAGTTTGGGAGAGAATTCTGAAGTTACTCTGAAACCATCTCAAACTCCTCCCAGTTACAGTTTGGGAGAGGTTCTGGCATTCTTGAGACCTGGAAGAAGATATCCATTTGTAGCCATGCAGGCAGGCCTACAGACCTTGATCTTGACTGTGGTCGCTGAAGCAGGTCAATGACTCAGTTCCAGTTCCATGGGTAACAGTTCATGGCCAGTTCTGTCTACACAGAAACCCAGAAATTTTCTCTGGTACTCAGTGAAAGCCATACTCATTCACATCCTGATATAAGGGCCATTTTATATGGACCTGACTGTAGAAATCTACCCTAGTGTCTGCTCCACATATAAAAGTCCTGAAGAATATTTAATTTAAAAAAAAAAAAAAAAAAAAAACACTGGGAATTACAACTACCTAGGCCCCTTGTAACAAGCCAACTAAATGTGGACCCTAGTGCAGACGCAGAAGCCTTGTGACCAAGTTACAACCCCAATTCACTACAAACCCCGGAGGCATTTTAGAACCCTGGGAACCCAACTAAAGAAGATCTTTACCTCCTGAAATCAGTTTATGAAAACTTGAGGAGTTGTTTGTTTTCACAGACACCAATATAAAACTATATTGTGCCCATTGCCAATGCTTCTATTTTAACATAGCACCAGAAATATTTGGCAAAATAATGAATAAAAAATATTTTTACCAAAACCTAAAATGCAATAAAATAAATAAATGGGGGAAAAAAAAAAAAAACAAAAAAAAAAAAAATATATATATTTTTTAAAAATTCATTGAAATTGAAGACAAATAAGTAAAAAGTTGTTTGAGGAATAACCTTATACATAAAAAACTATAGACAGCCAGGCGTGGTGGTGCAAGTCTGTAATCCCAGCACTTTGGTAGGCCGAGATTGTCAAGAGATCGAGACAATCCTGGCCAACATGGTGAAACCTGTCTACTAAAAATACAAAAATTACCTGGGCATGGTGGCATGCATCTGTAGTACCGGCTATCAGGGAGGCTGACACAGGAGAATCACCCCCACCCGGGAGGCGGAGGTTGCAGTGAGCCAAGATCGAGCCACTGCACTCCAGCCTGCTGATGGAGTGAGATTCCATCTCAAAAAAAAAAAAAAAAAAAAAAAGAAACGAAAAAAAGACAGTACATTGAAATTTGCCTAAGCTAATAGATACACTCAGTAAGTTGACAAAATATAAAATTAACATAAATGTGCAAGTTACTGTTTTATACACTTAAGCTATTGGATACAACAAAAATAAAAAATCTCTTTTTTTTTTGTTTTGCTTTGTTTTTTGAGACTGAGTCTTGCTCTTTGACCCAGGCTGGAGTGCAATGGCACAATCTCAGCTCACTGCGACTTCTGCCTCCCGAGTTTAAGCGATTCTCCTGTTTCAGACTTCTGAGTAGCTGAGATTATAGGAGCCCACCACCACTCCTGGCTAAATTTTTATATTTTCAATAGAGACCATATAGGCCAGACTGATCTCAAACTCCTGAACTCAAGTGATCCACCTGCCTTGGCCTGCAAAAGTGCTGGGATTACAGGCCTGAGGTGCCAGCCAAGAAAACAATCCTTTTAAAAATAGAATTAAAATAATGAATTTCTAAGAATTTAACCAAAGAGGCAAAAAATCTTTACAATAAAAGATATAAATCAATAAAAGAGGCCGGGTGAGGTGGCTCACCCCTGTACTTCTAGCACTTTGGGAGGTGTAGGCGGTGAGGGGGATTCTCTGAAGTCAGGAGTTTAAGAATAGCCTGGCCTACATGATGAAACCCCATCTCTACTAAAAATACAAAAAATTAGCTAGGGATGGTTGCAGGTGCCTGTAATCCCAGCTACTCAGGAGGCTGAGAGAGAAGAATGGCTTGAACCTGGGAGGTGGAGATTACAGTGAGCCAAGATTGCACCACTGCACTTCGGTCTGGGCAACAAGAGTGAAACTCTGTCTCAAAAAAAAAAAAAAAATCAATAAAAGAAATTAGAGAAAACATAAATTTTAAAATATTTCATATTTATGGATTCAAAGAATAATACTGTTAAAGTACCATGTTCTCTGATCTATATATTCAACAAACGTCCTATCAAAATTCCAGTGGCATTATTTTTACAGCAATAAAAACTACACTTCTGCCGGGCGCGGTGGCTCACGCCTGTAATCCCAGCACTTTGGGAGGCCGAGGCAGGTGGATCACGAGGTCAAGAGATCGAGACCATCCTGGTCAACATGGTGAAACCCCGTCTCTACTAAAAATACAAAAAATTAGCTGGGCATGGTGGCGTGTGCCTGTAATCCCAGCGACTCAGGAGGCTGAGGCAGGAGAATTGCCTGAACCCAGGAGACGGAGGTTGCGGTGAGCCGAGATCGCGCCATTGCACTCCAGCCTGGGTAACAAGAGCAAAACTCCGTCTCAAAAAAAAAAAAAAAAAAAACTACACTTCTAAAATTCACAAGAAACTACAATGAACTTCAAATAGCCAAAGCAATCCTGAGGAAAACAACAATGCAAAGGGGCAATTATAATTTATACTTTATAATTTCAAACTATATTTCAAGAATATAGTCATAAAACAGGATGGAATGTGCAGAAAATTAACATAAAAACCCATAGAGGCTGGGCATGGTGGCTTATGCTTGTAATTCTAGCAATTTGGGAGGCTGAGGTGGGTGGATCACCTGAAGTCAGGAGTTCAAGACCAACCTGATCAACATGGAAAACCCCATCTATTAAAAATACAAAATTAGCCAAACATTGTGGCACATGCCTGTAATCCCACTTGAGAGACTTAGGCAGAAGAATCACTTGAACCTGGGAGGCAAAAGTTATGGTGAGCTGAGATTGCCCCGCTACACTCCAGCCTGGGTGACAGAGGGAGACTCTTGTCTCAAAAAAAAAAAAAACAAAAAAACAAAAAACAAAAAACAAAACAAAAACAGAGACCATTACAAGTACACAGTTTAGACATCATACAAAAAAAGAACTAAAAAAGTAATTTAAAATAAAGTTTCTCTGCCGGGTGCGGTGGCTCAAGCCTGTAATCCCAGCACTTTGGGAGGCCGAGGCGGGTGGATCACGAGGTCAAGAGATCGAGACCATCCTGGTCAACATGGTGAAACCCCGTCTCTACTAAAAATACAAAAAATTAACTGGGCATGGTGGTGCGTGCCTGTAATCCCAGCTACTCAGGAGGCTGAGGCAGGAGAATTGCCTGAACCCAGGAGGCGGAGGTTGCGGTGAGCCGAGATTGCGCCATTGCACTCTAGCCTGGGTAACATGAGTGAAACTCCGTCTCAAAAAATAAAATAAAATAAAATAAAATAAAATAAAGTTTCTCAAAATCATGCCGATATCTGGATGATACCACAAAACAATAAGAAGCCAGTCAGATTGTATAGTGTTTTATATGCCATGAAGAGGATTTTGGCTCTCACTGTAAACTTGAAGGAAGATCAATGTAGGAAAAGTAGACTCCTTTGAGAATTTGAAAGCATAAGAGAGAAGATGGCCCTATGTCAGAACACAACAAAACAAGCAAACCCCTCAGGCTTCCCAGAAACTATTTGCTTTGGAACACAGCTTCCCAAAACACACTGTGGGGACTGGATTTTTTTTTTTTTAAATCTTCCAACTTTTCAACTATGTCAACTGTTTTATTCACTCTCACCTACCTGGGGGCTTGGCTGCCACACTGTGTCTCTTCATATTCCAGGGATCTTTTCCTTGCTGCAGACAGGTGATCAGATCTGCCTTAGAGACAGCAATACCTGGTTTATTAAAAATAAGGAACATGAATCTTGCTCATATTCTCTAATTACCAACCTACTACCGTAATTAGTAAAAAGGATGTCATAGAATATTCTAGAAAATAATCCCAAAATACTATTTAATGACACAAAGTTCTTAACATTTAGAAAATATTTTAAATTAGTAGGTTCTTAATTTCACTACCCAGTACTTATGAGTCAAAAAGTAGTGGTGGCAAGCCAATTTTTACAAGGGGTCTACAATAGTTTATACCACTATATTTCTGAAATTACTACTCCTCTGGAGTGAAGGATACAGACCAACTCAGGAATGTAAAAACTTCAGGCCAAGATAAAACATCTTGAAGTTTTTTCTACATGGACAATTCCTCAAGATTTTTTGAAAACAGGGATTAGAAATTAATTTATGAGGCCGGGCGCGGTGGCTCAAGCCTGTAATCCCAGCACTTTGGGAGGCCGAGGCGGGTGGATCACGAGGTCAAGAGATCGAGACCATCCTGGTCAACATGGTGAAACCCCGTCTCTACTAAAAATACAAAACATTAGCTGGGCATGGTGGTGCATGCCTGTAATCCCAGCTACTCAGGAGGCTGAGGCAGGAGAATTGCCTGAACCCAGGAGGCGGAGGTTGTGGTGAGCCGAGATCGCGCCATTGCACTCCAGCCTGGGTAACATGAGAGAAACTCCGTCTCCGACTAAAAAAAAAAAAAAGAAGAAAAATATGGAAAGCGGGCCGGGCGCGGTGGCTCACGCCTGTAATCCCAGCACTTTGGGAGGCCGAGGCGGGTGGATCACAAGGTCAAGAGATCGAGACCATCCTGGTCAACGCGGTGAAACCCCGTCTCTACTAAAAATACAAAAAATTAGCTGGGCATGGTGGTGCGTGCCTGTAATCCCAGCTACTCAGGAGGCTGAGGCAGGAGAATTGTCTGAACCCAGGAGGCGGAGGTTGCGGTGAGCCGAGATCGCGCCATTGCACTCCAGCCTGGGTAACAAGAGCGAAACTCCGTCTCAAAAAAAAAAAAAAAAAAAATTTATGGAAAGCATAAATTACCAAAAATTATTATATAAAAAAAGAGAAATGAAACCTTTAGGGTATATAAGGAATTGTGTATTAAAGTTATTCTCACCCAAGAAGGCCAGGTTTCTGTAGTTCTCTAACATCACTTTTCTATACAAATCCTGCTGTGCATTGTCCAGGCATTGCCATTCTTCCAGAGAGAATTCTATGGCCACATCCCTAAATGTCAACGGCCCCTGAAAAAAAAAACACACACACACACGTACACACACACAGATTTACAAGTGTCCATGGGAAGAATTTATCATTTAAAGTTAAATAAGAGAGTAAAGAAAATTGGTTCAGACTTATAGGAATGAATGAAATTATCTAACAAGTTTTAACCAAGAAATACTCTCTAACATATTCTCTAAGTCTGAGAGAAGAGACTGGTATAAGCTTCACAAAACCAGTGTGTATATATATATATATATATGATACTTTCATGAATAATAAAGTATAAAGCTAAAGGCATAAATACAAACATGCACATTTTTAGTTCTATATTTGCATCACAAAGAATGAGCTGTCCATATGTTTCAGACAAAAAAGACATGTTGAGTTAGAAGGCACCTCTTAAGGCTGGGTGAGATGGCTCATGCCTGTAATCCCAGCACTTTGGGGGCCAAGGCAGGTGGATCATGAGGTCAAGAGTTCGAGACCAGCCTGGGCAGCATTGTGAAACCCTGTCTCTACTAAAAATACAAAAAAATTAGCAGGCATGGTGGCAAGCGTCTGTAGTCCCAGCTACTCGAGACTGCACCCCAGCCTGGGTGACAAAGCAAGACTCAATCTAAAAATAAAAAAAGTTTAAAAAGCACCTCTTAAATTTTAATATGTAAAATAAACTGAAGATCTTGTGCAGATTTTTTTTTAAGAAGATATGAAATAAAGTCTGAGTCTCTGAATTTTTAAGAATCTCACTAGTAATGCCAATGTGTTTGGCCCAAAAAGAATATTTTCCCAAGGCGGGGCGTGGTGGCTCAAGCCTGTAATCCCAGCACTTTGGGAGGACAAGGCGGGTGGATCACAAGGTCAAGAGATCGAGACCATCCTGGTCAATATGGTGAAACCCCGTCTCTACTAAAAATACAAAAAATTAGCTGGGCATGGTGGCACGTGCCTGTAATCCCAGCTACTCAGGAGGCTGAGGCAGGAGAATTGCCTGAACCCAGGAGGCGGAGGTTGCGGTGAGCCGAGATCGCGCCATTGCACTCCAGCCTGGGTAACGTGAGTGAAACTCCGTCTCAAAAAAAAAAAAAAAAAAAGAATATTTTCCCAAACATCCAGTAAGTGGAAAAGCCTGTGTTTTACTCAGTTTTTTTTTTTTGATCTGTAAACAAAGATCAAAAGACTCTTCATTTTCTAAAGACTGAGATAATGAAAAGAAAACCTATGAAAGGAAGGCAGCTGCCAGATTAAATGTGATGGTTTATGCACAGCTCTTTTTTTTTTTTTTTTTTTGGGGTTGGGGTTTTATTCTTCTTACCCAGGCTGGAGTGCAATGGCGCGATCTCGGCTTCTCTCAACGTCTCACTGTTGGTGTCAGGCAATCCTCCTGCCTCAGCCTCCTGAGTAGCTGGGATTACAGGCACGCGCCACCATGCCCAGCTAATTTTTTATATTTTTAGTAGAGACGGGGTTTCACCATGTTGACCAGGATGGTCTCGATCTCTTGACCTTGTGATCCACCCGCCTCGGCCTCCCAAAGTGCTGGGATTACAGGCTTGAGCCACCGCACCCGGCCCTGCACAGCTCTTCTTTAGCTACATAAAGATAGTTAATAATGACAAGAAAAATAAGTAACTTTATAGTGAAATAAATATTTCAGAGCTCTTTAAGTCAATTTTAAAATGAACTGCACTAAGACAATGTTTTATGATGTGCTGATGCACAGAGAAGAACACAACATCACTGCTGAGATATTGCCACGGAGAGAGAAACCGACAAGCGCCGGGCGCGTGGCCTCAACTTTGGAAATTAGCTGGGCATGGTGGCACGTGCCTGTAGTTCCAGCTACTCAGGAGACTGAGGCAGAAGAACTATTTGAACCTGGGAGGCAGAGGTTGTAGAGACCCAAGATCACGCCACTGCACTCCAGCCTGGTGACAAAGCAAGACTATGTCTCAAAAAAAAAAAATTAGCAGAGACCCTTGACTGTCTGTCAACAGAATTTTAAAAATTAGTTAAAACAAACTGATCGGGGGAATGAAACACAAGTAGAGAAGTTAACGTTTGTGACAAGTAAACAACTGGTACCCCAGGAGGCAGAGTAGACACAGCTCTTCATCTGAAACATGTTTCACATTTAAAAAGCCATGTTTTCTCTTTCACCTTTTTTGGAAATCCTTTTCAGGTGACATTCTCTAGAGTAGTTACACCAGGATCTTCAAAAATTCCTTTAAAGGTGTCAGCACCAGCTGTTTAGCTGCTAGCCTCACACCCACAGATAAAAGAACCAAGAACTGCAGAAAAAGCCCACCCATTTCTGTTTTCTGTAACAGAAGAGATTCAGGAACCATGAGCTGCTCCATGAATATAAAAATACGTTCCGCTATTTCTGTCTTCAGAAGTGTACCCCCACCACAAATACCAGCAAGTTCTGCTTCAGTAATGAAAACATGAGTCACACTGACCTCTTGCTATCAAAACCAAACAGAAGAGTCCCTGTGACCAAGCGCAAAGGTGAAATGTAACTCTCATAAATGTATCTTGAACCCCTCATACTAAATTCTGGCCTCATCTCATAGTTACATGAGACGCAAGTAAAACAACATAAATAGTTAAGCCGGGCGTGGTGGCTCATGCCTGTAATCCCAGCACTTTGGGAGGCCGAGGACGGTGGATCATGAGGTCAGGAGATCGAGACCGTCTTGGCTAACATGGGAAAAGCCTGTCTCTACTAAAAACACAAAAAATTAGCTGGGCGTGGTAGCATGTGCTTGTAATCCCAGCTACTATGGAGGCTGAGGCAGGAGAATCGTTTGAACCTGGGAAGAGGAGGTTGTAGTGAGCTGAGATCATACCACTGTGCTCCAGCCTGGGCGCCTAGGTGACAGAGCAAAGCTCCGTCTCAAGAAAAAAACAAAAACAAAAAAAACTTTCACCTAGAAAAAGAAACAAAACCTGTGGAAAAAACACAAGTAAAGAGATTTCTGCAAATTGGCCTTGTAATCCTAATGAGAAGCTTGGGCTGATAACCACTTAGCTAAGCATTGCCTCCCAAACTTTAATGAGCTCAAAAATCACTTGGTAATGTTGGTCCAACTCTATGTAATTCTGCAGGTTTGGAAAGGGTCCACGGATGGATAATTCAAACAAGTCCCCTGTCAATGCTGATGCTGCTCCCCCAGTCTCATTATTAGCATCAGTTAGAGAAAGCAGGCACAGCACAGGGTCCCTTACACTCAGCACTCCTGTCACAACCAAATACTTCCGGTACAAACAAACAAACAAGCCGGGTGCGGTGGCTCAAGCCTGTAATCCCAGCACTTTGGGAGGCCGAGGCGGGTGGATCACGAGGTCAAGAGATCGAGACCATCCTGTCAACACGGTGAAACACCGTCTCTATTAAAAAACTACAAAAAATGAGCTGGGCATGGTGGCGCGTGCCTGTAATCCCAGCTACTCAGGAGGCTGAGGCAGGAGAATTGCCTGAACCCGGGAGGCGGAGGTTGCGGTGAGCCGAGATCGCATCATTGCACTCCAG